TTTTTAATCAAATGTTTAAGTCATTTCATTTAAAGGTCTTAACCTTTCAATAAAGGTCTTAACCTTTCAATCATCTCCCTATATAAAGGCTAAGTTGTGACATATTTCAACACACAACTTTTACTATTTCTTTCAAGTACTTTCATTTCAATTTTCCGATTCTTCAAAAGTCATTTTCCGGTGATAGATAAAGACAAAGATTGTGTTCGATTGTTCATTACGGTAGTGCTTACTGTTATGAACGTTTGTTGTTGTATCCTGGGAGACCAACGTCCAACGTTACTCAAAGCACCGAGGAGAGGACGAATCTGTCTTAAAGAAACTGTTCATTCAGGCCTCAACAAAACTCTTCTTCTACATATTCAATTTCATCCGATTACAGGTTCTATTTTAATTTCACATTTTTAAAATTTATTATTAAAACAAATTTTTTTTAGATTGTAATACTACAACACTATTTTTTAATATTTTGCAACACATTCTCCCTCGTCGCTACCGCAAGCCACCGGCAAATGTATTCGACTTCGACGGGGATCGGACCGCTTGCTGAGATGGTTTTGACTCTCCATAAACCGAATGTTTCATCATACTTAGCTGACTGCACCATCTCATTGAAATTCGGGTTTATATCAAAGTGCTTTGCATAGGATTCAAGATAGTTTATGAACTGATATTTAGTAGGGTACTCGGGGAAGTCAACTGGAAATGGAAAGTAGGGTAACTGGCAAAATTGTTTAGGAAGATGAAGCTTAAGCCGATCGTAGGTTAGTTTCTGCCAAAGCGAAGCGATGCAGTCGACTCGTTCGAGGACTATGAACGGTACACCTTGGGTTTTAAGGCATGCACCAAGGGCTAGACCCGAGGGACCTGCCCCAACGATCACCGGTCCATTCACCCATATGCACCGCCGAGTAAACATGTATGATGTATGTTAAAAAAAATCAGAAAATGAAGATAGAGAGAGACAAGTTTTGAACAATATTTAGCACCCAAAGATGCGATGAAGAAGATGATATGATTGAAAGTGGTGATCAAGATGGCTAATGGACAATTATAAGGAAAATATGGAGAAGATAATGAAATGAATTTTTTGGTATGAAATGATGTGTGGAGGAGGGGAGGATTTAAATAGAGAGGGTGTTGAACAATGATGCCAATGAGCCACGAGAGTAGCATGTGATTTGAAAAATGATGCTTTTACGGGTCAATTCTCAAATGATAAGCACATTCTTATGTAATTATTGTTATTATTAATTATTAGTTTTTACAATAAATTAGAATTACAATCAATCCTTATAAAAAATAATTAAACTCATTATCGAAATATATTAAAAAAGATTATTTAATATAATTTAATCTGAATAAAATATGAAGATAAAATATACGATTTATACCAAATGAAGGTTAAACCTAAATACTCAAAAACTTTAAGGCCCCGTTTGGTTCAAGAAATATTGTATTACCGGGTAATCCTATTCCTGATAATCTTTTATTACCAACAGTGAATTTTTTTGAATTATTGTTTTATATATTATTTCTGTAATATTCTATAAATAAAATTTGGTGTTGTTCTATGTTTTATTTTATTTTATAAAGATATATGGTAATATCTCAAGTCCGTTTATAGAGTTTTTTTACTATATAAAATAATTACTCTTTTAATATTTAAAATCTTTATATTTACAAAAGGAATTTGCATAACAATATTTCTACATTGAAAAAAAAGTTAAATTTGAACTTTTAAAGTTATAACTCATTATTACTTTGATATTTGAAGAATTTTTAATTTAAATTAATCCATAAATTCTCTTTCTATGTATGTCCGTTATTAAAAAAAATCAATCACATAGAATTCTAAGAAAGTGATACGTGACATATAATATATTAAATTAAAAATTATAATAATATTTAAAAATATAAAAATAAAAAATAAAAATATTATCAGATTTCTAGAAAAAAATTAAAGTTTTTTAAATTAAGTTTTTCTAAAATTATATAGTTTATTTTTAAAATACATAAAATTAAAAACTAAAAAATATTCTTTTATTTAAAAAACTGAGAAGTTTCTGGATTTTTTTTTCTTATTTTATGTTTTTGTCATGTACTTTATAGATTAAATTTAAAAATCTTGTTAAAAACAGAAGTTTTAGTAGAAAATTTCGAAGTTTTTTTTTTAATTTTAATAAATTTTGTTGGTAAAAACCTAAAACAAAAAAAGAACTCGAAAATTGTAAACACGCGCATATATTCAAATTTTTTATAATATAAAAAATTGTGTTATTTATTGAATTTTCAATAATTTTATAAGTTTTTTTTAAGTTTCAAATTTATTACTCCATATATTAACTGCAATGTGACACATTCTTAAAGTATCACGTGGCTTTTTAACAGAAGTAGAATAGCATGCTTCACAAAAAAAATAGTTAGGGGTCAATCTGAATAAAAAATTCTTTAGATCCTAAAATGATAATAATATAAAATATTAGGGGCTAAAATACTATTTAATCCAAAACATAAACGCTTAACAGATAGTAGTCATATTTAGATTTAACGGTTTGATTGGCCATCTAAGCTCTCTCCCAGGCTAAGATGTTTTTTGAGTATCAAACATAAACAAAAAAATAGTTTTCCAAAAACAAAATGTGATTTCTTGCCCATCAATTCATTAATCGGATTCCTTTTTCTCTTTAACAGTTAGATGGATCGAAATATATTTTTTAAATATTTAATTATGATGGAACAAAATTAAATTTTTAAAAAAAATATTTTCAGTTAATTTTGTCGGTTTTCAAATTAACCAAAATTTATTATAATTTTCCTATTTAATATATAATATATTTAATATTTAACCGAATTTTAAGTTGGTTGACACTATTTAATAATTAATATTAAATAGAAAAGTTTTTTTTTACTATAATAGAATTTATACTTAATGATTTGTGAAGTTCTTCGTTTTTTTTCTAAATAATTAAATTTTTATTTTTGCATTTAGTTATACTGTCAGTAGTAAAAATGAGTTTTATTCTATTTATAGGTATCGAATTTGAAAACTACGTAATTAAGTATAAGCATCCTAAGTTAATGTTATTAATTTTTAAATTTAAAAAATATAAACAATAAATTAAAAACTTAAAGTTAATGTTAATCCTAACTATAAATTAATTTAATAAAATAAAATATTAAATTCTTTAAACAATATCTCAAATTTAAATCTTAAGATTATAGATAAAATAAATTAAAAGATAATTAAAACTATCTAAATATTTAGGGTATAAACAATGTGTTTAATCACTTAACTAATATTTTGGTTTTGTTTTGATCACTCAACTATTCTTTTTTGAAATAATCACTAAGGTTACGTTTTGGTCAATTGTCGTTAAAAAATTAATAGCGATCCTTACGTGTCACCATAACGTAATTTCAAGTCATCATTGAAAAAAAAAGAACTTAGCCGTCAGCAAGCAATTTTATTAATTTTTAACAGTAAGTGACCAAAATTAAATCAAAATATGATCTTAATGATAATAAATACAATAAGAAATCAAAACGATAATGTTTTATGTGTAAGTGGTCAGGTTGAATCACAGTGGCAGCTGGACCAGAATCACCATGTGACAAAACCAAAGGGGCACGCAACACCCAGACTCGCCAGGTTGGAAGTGGATAAAAGATTGGGGTTTTTTTTCACTTTTTCAAAAAAAAAAAAAAATTAATTTTAAGCATAAAGACATAAACTTGATGATAATTATATATATATATTAAAATTCATTTTAAATTTTTTATTTGTTAATTAAAATAATATTCGATTAATCATAACAACAAAATCATCAAGAATAAAGTAGTATTGATATACAATTAAATCTTATTATCTGTTTGTTATGTTTTTATTTTCGTGATTAAATTTAATCGTAATAATAAAATCATAAAAAATAAATTATTATTTTTTATTTTAACAGTTAAATAAATATTTCTTTATCATCAACAACAAAACATTCAAAGAAAAAAATTGATTATATTATTTAAAATATATTATTTATAAATGAATAGAAGTTATAAAAAAAATAAAATATTTACATAGGTTTATTTATGAAGGAAAGCATCAATAACTATTTTTTTGTTAGTTCAATTTTTTCACATTTATATTATAAATTATTTATCTTATCACTAAATTAAATTCTAGTTCTCTTAAAAGAATTATTTTTAAAATAAATTATAGTTTATCTTATTAAAGAAAAATAATAATTAGTTGAAAATTTATTAGTTTCTAATTGTATTTTATTATATTTAAAAATAATATTTTCTATTGGTCCTTTCTCTTGTAAAATGTATTATAGTTATAAGTACCTTCGAACTTTCAATATAAATTTTTTATGTTAGTCTTCCTTTTGGTATGAGATTCTATAAGTTTCCTTGATTGCTTGCTTTTTTCATGTTTAGTTTCTTCATTCGTTTATATATAATTTTTCGTTCATATATATATATATATTTTAAATACTTTTCAGGAGGACCTTTATATCTAGTAGTCAAGAATGTTTGAGTAATCCGTTTTCATATGTCGTTATCTTAATTATTCACGTTTTTATTCATCAAATTGTTTCTAGTTATTTATCGTAATATTTTACTTAGGATTGTAATGAATGTATATATAATATTATCTTACATTATATTTTTTATGATTAATGCAATACACATACCCATTTAAAAAAAAAACCAGTTGAAAATGAATAAAAAATAAAATATAAAAACCCCGCGTACACACAACACAATAGTCACTTAAGTACGTGCTACATTCAAGCAGGTTGAATAGGCAGAGGCAGGGGAGCAAACATTGGGACTCGGTTGCCAACAAATACACTATCTTTTCGTTTTGTTTAAAGGAAAGAGAGAAACTCAAAAACATTCAGCACCTCCAATATATTTCAGAAACCTTTCTCTCAGAAAACCCTTTTCTTTATTCATTTCAGGGGGCCTTTTTTTCTTTGTTTCCTTCCTGTCCTTTCTTTATCATAATAATAACTGTAACATATCATCGAGAGAACTTGCCTTTCATATATACTTTCAGTTTTTCATTGTTGGGTTCTCATATATTAACTCAAGGTGGACTCCTCAGCCCCGGAAGAAACAGATCATTTTCCTAGCATCACTTGAAATCTATGGAGCAGCTTGTCAACTTTATAATACGACCTCCAAGGTAGCCATTTGATTTTTAATGTTACTTTTTTTTCTTTCTTTTGAGAAAACAAGTGATCTTGTTTCCCCTTTTCATTGAGTTTTATTTTTATTTTGGCTTATGATTCGGTTTTGTTTGGTTGATGAGAAATTTTGGGAAAAGAAGGGAAATTTGGGTTTTGAAATTTAAGCGTTTTTGGTTTGCAGGGAACAAGAACTGAAAACCCTTTTGATTGAATGAGATAAAGTTTAACTAATTGCTTGTCCTTGGGCCCTTTCTATATAGCATCAGATATAAGGTTTTTCCTTCCGTGTTGATGTTGCCCAGTTTCCAGCAAACCTTTCCTTTTACAGTTTGAATTTAATCAATTAACTAGCCTCTTGGTTCCCTTGATCTTTCCATAATTCTGGAATTGTGATGGCTTTATTTAATTTGGGAGGGCATGATTTAGTTATTGATTTATGGCATACTAAAATTTTATAGTTTAGAATATTTCATATGTTCTGAACAAGTTTAGCAGTTACCGGGTTAGTAATTGACCTAGAGACTGTGGAAAGATGAAATTTTCTCATGCTGATGCTAGAATGTTGATCAGTAGCATAGCTATGGAACTTAAACTATTATTGTAAGAATTAGATCTTCAAGTCTGTTGTTCTAATGTTGTTCTACTTTAAAGATAAGATGGTTTATAATCAGTAGAGTTATGGAAAAGGGCCCGAAAATCCTTTCATTAGGATTTAGATGGGAAAGAAAAGTGAGTGGAAAGTTTGTTGGGAACTTTTATTATGAGATACTTATATATGCTTGGAACATAGTAAATTTAGGACTGTGAATTATTCCCAACTGTAATTTTATTGAACTTTGCAAAATTTTCTTATGGGCATCTCTTTTTGATGGCAGAGCTGAATACAATCCAGAATGTGATCTGTTGGATGAAGAGTTCATGTTGAAAGGAAAATGTTACCAGAGAAAGGATATAGAGGTACCTTTTAAATTATTCAAGGGAAAATTTTCAATTTATTTAGCTTTCTAAAATTATTACTTTCTGGTTTGTTCAAATTTGTTTATTATGCCCTGTTTCCATGATTCTTCAATCAGTAAACTTCTGTTGTAGAAAGCACAACGGATAGATTCACTTTGTGTTGCCATCAACTTTTTCAACTGATGAATAAAAATCAGTTTGCTACATGCCTTTAGCCTTAATACCTGTTCCCTTTCTCTTTCCCTCTGAAAGGAAACATTGCAGCAATGGTTATTTCTTTTGAACTTTTTTTTTTGATAGGATTTCTTTTGAACTTTTATTAGAGTTAATTCATAATTGTATCATTTTTCCTTGTCAGCTAGTTGTAACCTTTATGCTGGCATGTTCGTTGAACATCATATATTATTGAAGATCAAAACTTTTATAACATTAGATGTGTTATGCCTTCTTCTGCATATTGATTTTGCCTGATGAGATGCTGTACCAATGGGAAAATCTGAATCTTTTTTTGGGTGGGCAGATCAGAAATGTGTTCTAACAAGATAAACAGTTTCTTTGTAATATATTACCCAAAATCTGGACTTGATCGACTTGCAGTAGTACAAGAATTAAGATGTGGTCAATTTAGCGAGATAATCCCTGGTATAAACATACTCGAGAAAATTCTTGTGATGGTATGTTTAGGATGGTTTGAAAGATTTCAGCTTCGTGCACCAAGTAACATTCTTAGGCCAAACTCTGGTGCTTGGGAATATTAACAAACATAGGACTGCAACAATTAAATCCGTTAAAGAATCTTGCCCCATTAGCTTCTGTGGGTCATTCTTTTAGTAATGAAGGGTAGGGGCCAAGGCCCGAGGGGTTAGTTCAGTGTGTAACCAATTATTTGTGAGTCCGTATTTTTTTATAGTTTATATGAATGAGTTGGTTTGCATCATTAGTGAGATATTTTCACACTGTTGCAGATTAAAAACAATAGGGGAGATGTTCTACAGTGTAGTCACTACGTGCCCTTGGTTAGTCCCGAAGGCAAACCTCTGCCGTGTGTGATATACTGCCATGGAAACAGGTAACAAGGATATTTTAGTTTGTTCCTATGAAAACTGCCCTTATTCTCAATATTTGTCTGGAAATTTAGACAACGAAAAAAAATATCAGATTTTATGCTCAAATCGAGAAATATGTTTTTGTCCAACTTGTATTCATCAACCAAGACTAGGCATATAATAGCATTGATTTTACTTGATACAATTGTATCTGGTTTTACTTAATCAAGACTAGCCATATAATACAATTGATTTTACTTTTAGGTCCAACTTGGATTGATTTTACTTAATTAAGACTAGTCCAACTTTCATTTACTTTCCTTTTCTTCTCATTTTTATTGCTTATATAGTGTTTCGTCAACTAGCAATTAATTTGCATCTCTGATTAGAAATACTGATATAATTGCACTTCATGTGAGTTAGGCTGTTGATTTTTTATTATATTTTCTCATGCTATTTTGTGTTTATTGCTTTTACCACCAGTAGTGGTGTGGGTAAGGAGAAAAACAACAGTAATCAAAAGAAATAAGGTTGAACAAATGGTAGGAAAGAATATGAAACTCAAGGAAAAACTTAGGGTTAAGGGAAACCTCTAGTTTTTTTCTTTTAATTCAAAGAAAATGATAATGATAAGTCGTGGAGGATTCCCTTATCAGTGACCCTTCCCTTGGGGATTCATGTTTCCCTCCAAACAAATCAATTGTCTCTACCATCCCGTGGTCCCTCCCTCCTAAGGGCTTTGTCAAATTGATTGTGGATGTAGCTACTAGTTCTGAATGGAAGAGCAGTGGAATTGCAGGTATTCTAAGAGATGAAGAAGGTCTACTTTTAGGTTCTTTTAAGACGGCTTCTGGTCCGGGTCCACCTATTCTGATGGAGTTAAAGGCTGTTAAGGAGGGTTTAAATTTCTTTCACTCAGTGAGAGGAGGTATTAAGGGTCGGTTGATTATAGAATCAGATTGTAAAATGGTAGTGGATTGGATTAAGGATGGATCTTGTTGTCCTGTTTTCTATGCCTCCATTGTTAGGGAGGTAGCTGTTAAACTCAAAGAAGTCGAGGGAGTTATTAGATGGGTGGCTAGGACAGCCAATATTGAGGCTGATGGGTTGGCTAAGTCTGGTATTGGTTAATTTTACTTTGTTGTTGGGATATTTTATTTTGGGTTTTTAGGTTGTTTGTAAGGGTTTTATCTTATTATTGTAAATCTTATGTATCTTTATTAATAAAGTTTAAGGCACTCTTTTCCTCCTTCCTCTGATTTAGGAATTCAATATGAGTTCCTTAAATCATGAAGGGGTTTTTTAATGAGGCCTCAATTCCTATCAAAAAAAAAAATGATAAGTCGTGGCTATTATATTTTCTCACCTTATTTATACTAGGGTTACAAAGATAATTTAATCCTAGCCCCAGTTTAAAACATAAAGGAAACTTATAATCCTAGCCATCCAAAATATATTTAGTAAAATTGAAACAAATAAATATTATAATAATACAAGCTCCTGCATCAAGTAGGCAGTAGTAATGGGCTATTTATTTTTCTAATTGTTTTTACTAATGCTATTTTGTCATTACTGCTTGTACCCGTCCACCAGTAGTCTAGTAATGTAGAGAATTAGTTCTATCTTTACATTTATTTTGCTTTGCTTATTGTTTGTAACCTCCTTTTTTCGCTTTTCTGTAATTTAGTACTAAGCGTTGACTAGTGTTGTGGAGTCTGGGATTGAGTTATTGGACGAGTAACACAAAAATCCAATTCAAAGAAAGGGATCTTTGCCCTCTTAGGGAGTTGCCTACCTTAATTTACTAGAACTCTCAACTTGTTTTGATCATAAATGACTTACATAGGTTTTCAATTTAGCAAAGACTACCCTAATTTCAAAAGCAAATATATGACAGCAAAAGTTCTATTTAAACTAATAAGAAAATTCTTGGAAATAAAAAGAGTTTTTGTTACATCTAGTATGTTTCCTGCTTCAGATCCGTTGTATATGTGTTTCCTTATCTAGAATCTTCTATGCTGACAGCCAACCAACATAAAATGTTGTACTTTTCGACTTGCTTATCATTGTTGTAGTTATTATTATTACTGTGTTCTAGACATCATCACTGACTGGTAGCACATCTTGATTCTTGGTAGTGGATGCAGGGCTGATGCTAGTGAAGCGGCTATGATCTTGTTGCCTTCAAATATTACAGTTTTCACTCTTGACTTTTCAGGATCTGGGTTATCCGGAGGAGAGTATGTCACCTTGGGTTGGTACGAAGTAAGTGGTTACCAACTAATTGAAAAAAATCTAGACCTTTCTCCCCCATTCTAATGGATGCAGAAAATGCGTCTACTCATGTTTCATTGATAATTTTAGTAATTTTTTGCATAAGATCTTTAGCAGTCGTGAACTTATATAATGGTTCTCCACAAACCAATTATATTAATTGCTATTATGTCTTGGGTTATTTGGGTATTCTTACTTAATACAGATATGTTGTACACCAACTATTAGTTTCTTCTGCTAAAACTTGTTTTGGGGGTGGGGTCTTTAGGTTTTGAAAGTTTACATACACTTAAAATTTTTCTTGAACATGCTCGTTGATATCGACAATGGTTTAATATTGCCCATTACGCAAGAATTTGAAAACTTTCAAGTTGTAATTGATATAAAAAGGTTAAATAGTCCATTCTCTTCCTTTGATCCTTCACCCTGGCTTAAGTGTATTCTTATTATCTGAGGCTTTATCTAATGAAAGATGGAAACAAGCTATGAATGTAGAGATGGAGGTGTTGGAAATGAACAAAATTTGGGAATTGGTGAATTTTTCAATAGGAAAGAAATCATTGAATTGTAAGTGGGTGTATATGGTGAAATATAGGGTAACTGGATTGATTGGGGGATGTGATGCTTGGTTTTGCCAAAGGGTATACTGAGACCTGTGGAATTGATTACATAGAGACCTTTGCTCTTGTTGCAAATATGATAGTCAAAGTATTGTTGTCACTATCAACTAATTATGGTTGGGAATGGTTTCTTACGTGGGGAATTAGAGGAAGCAATTATTATTGAGGTTCCACCAAAATATGGGAAGAAATTTGACTGCTCGTCATGAGTGTAAATTGAAAAAGGCATTACATTGCCTTAAGCCATTACCACAAGCATGCTTTTGGAGATTTGCGTGAATTATGTTGGCTATGGGATAAAAACAGAGCCAAGGGTTTTGCATGCTGTTCATAAAACCCTCTTCTTCAGGGGCTGCTATAGCTCTTCTAGTGTATATGACTTCCATTATAGTGCCAGGAGATGATGTCAAGAGAAATAGGTTGTGAGTGAAATATTGGCAAAGGAGTTTGAAATTAAAGTATTAGGTTAGCTGATGTATTTTCTCCAAGTTGAGGTCACTTGCTCTAGGTAAGGATTTTTATTCTCTCAATAGAAGTATGTTGTACATCTTCTCAAAGGAAGTGACGAGAAATCATGCAAATCCTAAACTTGTAAAGGCATAGGACGATGTTGTAGTAGACAAAGATTTATCAACTCTTGATAGGAAGAATCACTTGTCTTATCTCACACATGACCGAAAATGGTACATGCAGTTAGTGTTATTAATTAGTTTATGCATAATCCATAGGAAGTTTATATACAAATAGCTCATAGATTACTATAGTATCTCAAGGGAACTCCAGGAAAAAGGTATCATATTCAGAAAAAAATGAAGGATTGATGCTTGAGGCACACTCTAATGGTAGTTATGCTGGATCCAATTGATGATAGAAGATCAATGTCAGAATATTACACCTTTTTCGGTTGGAATCTAGTGACATGGAAAAGCATAAAACAGAGTGTAGTAGCTCAGTCAAGTGCAGAGGCCGAGTTTCGAGAAATGGCTCAAGGTGTGTGTGAACTACTTCGGTTGAAGATCATTCTTGAAGATTTGAAAATTAAGTGTGACGGTCTTATGTGACTCTATTGCACCAACAAATCTGCAAGTTACATAGCTCACGATGTAGTACAACATGAATGGACGAAGCACATTGGAGTTGGTGGACACTTAATCAAAGAGATGTTGGGTGTGGATTGATATGTACACCTTATGTAGCCATGTCCATACATGGTAAACTTGCTGATGTTCTTACCAAAGGGTTGAGATTGGACAGTACCTATTCACTGGGAAAACTGAAAATAAATCCCTTAAAAGCAGAGATTTAATTCAGTGATTTTTCTGATTTGTTCCTTGTTATCAGAGATTGGATTAAGGGCATATGAGAAATTAGCATATTTTTTTGGAGAAATTTTATTGATTATGTATTTAGTTTGCTTCCCCAATTACTTATCAAATATACAAGACATAATTCTTCTTTTCAGCTTTCGCATCTCTTTTCAGTTTACAACAAAAAGTTGGGATAAAGAACAGTCCCGACATTTTTTTAAAGAAAATAAAGGTTAAACATTGTTACCAACTTTGCTCCTTATTAGAAAAGTATCCACGTGCCATCTATGGTGTTTATTATTATCAAATGAATATTTGTCATCAACTTTGCAGTGCCTTAATTGTCCTGGTAAGAGTACTGTACATTTGATTCATACTTATTCTCAGTATGACATCACACATGTCCATTGCTGGTGTTTCTTGCATGCCAGAAATTTGCTGCCTGACATTCTTTTCCAATTTTTCAGAAAGATGATCTGAAAGCAGTGGTTGATTATTTGCGGGCAGATGGAAATGTCTCTTTGATTGGATTATGGGGCCGCTCAATGGGTGCTGTTACCAGGTTTTCTATAGCACTTGCCAGTTGTCATCTTTCTTTGAGCTTGCTGCTGTTAAAGTTTTCATCATCAGAAACCATTTCCCATTTCAATTAGTTTAATTAATTCATGAAGCTATCCTGCTTGGACTTCTGAAATGTTAATTAAAAAAGGATCTATGGTTTTATTTTGATGTCTTTTCTTCTTTTGCTTGTAAGATTACATGTTTTTTATTCATATGAACCTACTATAGACAATGTATTTCTGCATGTTTATGTGATATTAAGGATGTAGATGATTGTTTACAGCCTCATGTATGGAGCCGAGGATCCTTCAATTGCGGGAATGGTTCTTGACAGTCCCTTTTCTGACTTGGTAGATCTGATGATGGAACTAGTAGATACATATAAATTCCGTTTGCCCAAGTTCACAGTAAGTAAATACATTTTATTAGTTATGATAAATTTTGTTGTTTCCTATCTCTTTTTGACTTTGTGTATAACTAATTAACCACTGAACGATGAAGGGGATATGTTGGTGGTAGAGATTGTATAGGAAATTTGGTGTCGGCAACTAAAGATCTATGGAATTGATTACTTAGAGACCTTTGCTAACTGGTGTTTATTGTGTAGGTGCATTGTATTACATTTGATTTCATGTTTCTTGTTAATTCAAAGTCCATTTTCTTTATAATTAGTGATAACCAAACAGTACAAACAAAAGGTTATATTGCTGCAGGTAAAGTATATTTGAGCTGTTTAGGTTGATAGGTTATATTGCTGTGAGTTACTTATTGACACCCATTTTCAGAGTCTTTTGTTGTCAGCATGCCAAATTTTTTCATTTGCCTACTGCAGGTTAAGTTTGCTATCCAGATCATGCGGAAAGCTATCCAGAAAAAGGCGAAATTCGACATAACAGAGCTGAACACCATCAAGGTTTTAAGCTGGAGATCGTTTACTCTTCTATTTTGATTATGCAACTCATTTTTGAGTTTCACATGGTTAAGTCTCTTGATATTTTTGCATTAGTCTCTTCTGTTCAGCAGTTTTGGTTTAGTTTTCTTTCTTCTTTGATTGATTGGTTAAACCATTAGTGGACGTTACAAATATCTGGGTAAGGACGATAGGAAAATGGAAAGTTGCAAAAAGTGGAAAAATAGAAACCCATTTTCCCATTGGTGTTCTTTAGGAAAGGAGAGTTGGGTGGAGAAAATGATTTTCCTTCCATCCATTGCTTGGTAGAGTTGAAAAATGAAAGGAAAGACAATAAAATTATACCCTTTTTTAATTCTAGATAAAATTCAAAAAAGAAAAAAATGGATAATCTTGTACAGCACTTTACTCATACCCCTCCCAAGGAACCGTTGTTTAGCTGTTTGTTTAAGTCTTATATAATATGTTTTATTCAATAATATAGAGGTACTCTTTTCCTCCTTCCGCTAGTCGGTCCTTTCCTTGGGGAATAAGACTACTATGAGGGAGGTTTTTAATGAGGCCTCCTACTTCTATTAAAAAAAAAAAAACTCATACCCCTCCCATTTTTCCTAACATTTTCAGTTTGAAATGATATGTTTTTGAATTAGGGTAGAAAATGACCATCTATTTTCTTTTCTTCACTTTTCTCTCATACCAAGTGATGTGGTTAAGAAGAAAAAATAGCAACAATAGAAAGAAATAAGGCTGAAAGCGAGTTTGAAAGATGGAACTTTAGAAAACTTAGGGTTTTAAAAAACCTCTAGTTTTATTATTAATTCAAAGAAAATAATAAGCATAATTCTTCAGTAAAGCCTGCAACTTATTTGTATAGGCTAGCTTTCTTGCAAGAAAAGTTTAATCATAAACCTAGATCTAAACCCTAACGATACCTAGTGACCTTAACCGTGCTTAACAGCCCTAGCCTTAGCTGTCTATCATAAATCTAATCATTAATAAATGTTATAAAATAAAACTGAAATGATAACATAAAATATTACAAAGCTCCTGCATCATTCTCCCCGGGTCAGAAAACTAGACTCTGGTGACATTCGCGAGAAACATTCACCACTTCAGCATAAACTTCTTGATCAGCTCTTTGCAGCTTCTTCTCCATGATCATTAACTTGGCTGACTCAACGTGTGCCTTTGCATCCTGTTTGTTCTTTAATATAAGTTCCATCTCCAAACATTGCTTCCAAACTAACTCCATATCCCACTGTATTTGACTAAAGCATTCTGTTTCAAACAAAACAGCTTGCTTCATGTTTTCATCACATTTCTCTCTTGTGGTTTCAAGTTCCACTTTCAACAAAGGCTCCACTTCAGTTCCATAATATATTTCAGTCATACTGGGACTTTCTTCTTTGGTTTCAGAATTATTAATGACAGTCTCCCGCATATCTGTTTGTTCACCACCATAAGTAGGAGTTTCTTCATAGATACTTTTCTTGTCACCAGCACTCGCTGGGTGTGTACTATCAGGCACTGTATTACTCTCTATAATTAAATCTTCATTAGGAATCTGTCTCAAACTTGCAAAATTTCTTTTGGAACATTAAAAGCAATAAGAGTGAAACCGCGCCAATGAATAATGTCAAATTTAGCAAGATCAAACTAAGGTGTCCATTCGACATAAGCACTTCAGCATTTAAAGTAGTGTTTACAGCAGCTGCATGCTGGTTTGGCATGTCAAGTTGTCTACCTACCTCATTCATGATCCCCAAAAATGTGTGTGGCGTTTCTGCCCATTCATACAAGCCATTTTGAGTCTTAAAAGTTGTTTTCCATTCATCAATACTTCTCAACTTGATTTTTTTTATAATCATTCCTCGAATTAATCTTTAAGACACCTTAAAATATCCAATCACATAACAAATAAATAATGGTTGGTTCTCAATTCATCTTGTTCAACAAGCTCAGTTCAATATATAGGAATAAGATGTGATATATTTTTTTTTGATAGGAATAGGAGGTCTCGTTATAAACCTCCCTCATAGTTGATAGTTGGCTCTTATCAAGAGGCAACTAATTGAAGGAGGAAAAGAGTACCTCAGTTTATTAATAAACCTGCATTACATAAGAAACCCAATACACTCTAGACCTGAAATACATAAGATACATATACACTCTAACCCTCCTAGAAAAAACAAAACATAATGACAGGAAACAGTGAACCATCAGCCTATCCCTTCCTTAGCTAACTTATCTGCCTCCAAATTACAGCTCTTAGGAATCCATCTAACCATAATGTCCTTGGCAGTAACTAAGGCTCCAATTTCTCCTACCAACAAACTGAGAAACACAAGGGCAAAAAAAGGCCTCAAAATCCACTCCACTACGTTAAGCAATCACTCTCTAGAACGAGTCTACCTTTCACCGCCCATTGAGAAGAAAGAAATAAATCAATTCCTTCTTTAATTGCTTTCAACTCAGCAAATAATGGGGGACCTGGTCCCACAGCATTAGAAAAAGTGACCAGGATAGATCCATTCGAATCTTTCATAATTCCTCCAATTTATTCCAATGAAAATCCCCTCCAGTTCTACAAGAGAGAGTCAACCTACATGATTTAACCGAGAACATACCATCTCCTTTCCCTGACCAGGCCAGAAAGTCATCAGCTGACTCAATCAAAACAATATTTTCAATCAAAGACATTAACGAAATCCACTGGTCCAGTTCCCAATCGCATAAGTTCCTCCTTAAACGAATATTCCAAACCCAACCACTTCTTTCATAACTACCAAAATCAACAACAATACCCCATTTATTAGTAGAAAGAGCAAATATCCTTGGGAATTGAACTCTCAGAGTTGCGTTATTTACCCAAACATCATTCCAAAATGCAATTGACCTACCATTCCCCACTTGCAACTTCGAATTTGACCTCAAGCACTCTCCAATTAAGTCCTTTTTCTCATAGTTATTCATTATTCCTCTCCATATCCACGAGTCTTGATGAGTAACTGCCTTGCTAATTGAAAGAGTTAAATTGCTGATATTATGATTACAACAAATCATTTTCTTCCATTGCGAATCTTTCTCGTTTGCAAACTTCCAAACCTATTTCCCGAGTAGCACTCTATTGATCAAACTCAAATCTAAAACACCCAAACCACCCTCCTTAATAGGGTGACACACCAAACCCCAATTAACCCAATGAATTCGCCGCTTTCCTGGACCTTCCCCCCACAGAAATTTAGCCATTAAAGAGTTCAGCTTTTGATTAACCTTAGGAGGAATTTTGAAAAGAGATAGGAAGAAGATCAGCAACGAGGACAACACTGCCTTCACCAAGACTAGTCTTCTAGCCATCGAAAGTGTTGCAGCTTTCCATCCTGCTAACTTAGAATTAAAATTATGGATTACTGGTTCCCACAACAGATCTGAATTTTTGTTTGAACCAATCGGTAATCCAAGGTATGTCAGGAAAAACACCCACCCCACTCCTTTAACGTATCAACTCCCAAATTAACACCATACAACTTGCTCTTGGAAAGATTAATGTTCAGCCCTGACATTAGACTGAAAATCCTCAGCACTCTCCTAATGTTCAGTATCTGCATGGGAGAATCCCTGCAGAACAGAATTAAGTCATCTGCGAATTGCAAATGAGTCAAACGGAAGGTGTTATCAGCCCCACCAATGCTAAACCCTTCAAACAACCCACAATTCGCAGGCTTAATCAACATTAAATTCAGTAATTCCCCTACTATGTTGAACAACAAGGGAGACAAACTGCAGCCCTGTCTTAACCCTTTGCCCATCTGAAATTCTTCAGTAGGAGAGCCATTAAGAAGAACCGAGATAGAAGCAGCATTCAATCCATGAAATCCACTTATCACCAAATCCCATAACTTTCAATAACCTCAATAAAATCGGCCATTCCACCGAATCATATGCCCTACGGAAATCAACCTTGAAAACTACCCCTTTCCTCCCCTTTTTCCTCCAAAAATCAATAGCTTCATTAGCTACAAAAGCACATTCAATCAGCTGCCTTCCAGGAATAAAGGTGAACTGTGATGGGCTTACAATGTCTTTGATAACTGATACAAGCCTTCTGGATAAAACTTTGGAAATAATCTTATACAGGCTGCCAACTAGGCTTATTGGTCTGTAATCTTCAATACCTTCTGGATTACGAGTCTTAGGGATCAAAGTTATAAAAGCATGATTGACCTCATGCTCCCAATTCCTGCCATTGTGAAAATCCTCAACGAATTTCATAATATTATCCTTCAAATTTGGCTATAATTTCTTGAAAAAACCCATCGTGAACCCATCCGGACCCGGTGCTTTGGAACTATCCGAATGAAAAACTGCCTCCCACACTTCCTGCTCAGAGAAATTCCTCTCAAGAACCTTCTTTTGAACATGATTCAATTTAGCAAAATTAAGATTTATTTCATCCACCTCTAGAGCTGTTTTGTCATTGTAATAAGCCTTGAAATAATCTGAAATGCAGCCTCGCAACTGCACCGGGTCAGTAATAACATCACCAGCCACCTTCAAAGCTGAAATTTGATTAATTTTATTTCTATTCAATGCACATGAATGAAAAAATTTGGTGTTTCTATCTCCCTCAATATTCCACTTCACTCTTGATTTCTAAAACCATATACTCTCCTTCCTATGCAAGTGCCACAACTCCTTTCTCGAAGCACTAAGCTCCTCCCTTTCTTGACCATATATCCCTCCATTCTGTAAATTTAGCTCGATGCTGTTAATTTTGGATTCCAATTCTGAAATATCCTCTGAAATCCCCCGTTGATTAGAACCTGACCAATTCCTAATAGCGAGCTTAGTACCTTTAAGAAGAGAGAACAACCCCCTACAACCGTTATACATCCTCAAACTTAAGAAAGAATTTTCAACCACCCCAGTAAACCCCTCTTCCTTAAGCAAGTAGTTGAAAAAAACGAAATGGCTTAGAACCCCAATTCTTGCAATCATCCTCT